TGCCACGGGCACGGTATCCGAGCGGAAAATGACAAGCAGTAAAAAAAGCCTCGCAAAATGAAACCAATCCACACGTCCATATGCAAAGCGCCACTCAGGCTGGTGCAGCTGCAGGGTCCGTGGGCAAAAATGCGCCTTACCGAATCCCGCCAACTATGTCAGTCTCCCCTCCCACCAATGCCACGCATAATGCACGGTGTGCGTCCACAGGCATCCACTCCCGGTGCCCTAGCAACACTTCAGAAACGAACGCAACAGGAGTAATACAATGAGCATCACACTATGCCACCGCACCAGCAAGCACACCACAGGACAGCAACACGCCACGCAGCAATGTTTTGCTATTTCACACAATTCATTTACCACACAATCCAAAACACACATAACGGGAGAAGCGAAGTATCATTACAAAATGCCAAAGCAAATAAATAAAAATAAAAAAGTCAAAACCACACAAATCCCTTGCACACGCACCCAAAGTATTCTCCAGAAAAAGTCAAACAAATTGTTATCCCAAAACCATTAAAACACGCGTTGTGCTGCCACATTAGCAACCAACGCAAAAGGGAAAGAGTGTATACAGCATATCCCTGGTAAAAAGTATACAGACAAGCAGAGCATATAAATTTATATACTGATAGGAAATGCCAATTGATATAGGGTTTTCTCTCTTGCAACCACTGCTGAGTGCGGGCCACGCAGGACGCAACCGCAGTCGCCTCGTCGTGCAGCGGCATCCATGCAGCCACCCAATAGAGTGTTGACACGGCGGCGGCAGCGGCAAGAAGAAGAAGCAGTGGAAAGGGAAAAGCAGCAGCAGCAGTGTTATTGCCGTGGATCGAAGGCGAGGCGTACTTCATGTCTTCCTCCCAACCCCCGCGCCCCACCGCCGCATCATCCTCCCTCTGCGGAGGGTCCACGGCGCCATGCGCGTCATCAGCGGCATCAGGGATCCTGAGTCCCGTGGCTGCGGCGCCGCCACCGGCCTTGTTGCTCACGGCCTCATCTCCTGTTGGATTATCCCACAACAGACGTCACACCATCGGCGGCCACATCGTCGCTGTCCGGAACATCGCTCTTCTTCTCCGCCTCCTGCGGCGCACCCGCGGTGTCGCTGGGCAAGATCACACCGTTGCCGTCGTGGCATCTGGGGCGACTTCCTTCTCCTCTGTCAACGCATGATTCTGGGAGCAGCCGTGTCTACGTCCCTTGATGGTGTGCCGCGGCCGGTCCCAATGCTCTCCGCAACGGGGACAGATGCTCCTGGCAATCCTTGTTCAGTATATGCCGGTGAAACCGTCCTGCTCCACATGCTCTCTCCTCGCCGTCCCACGAAACCACTGGAAGTGGGCTACCGCTGTTGGCAGATATCGTGCACACCTGCGCGTGGTCACGGCAAATAACGTTTCCCCCATCGTAGGGTCGAGCGGCCCACGCAATCGTCGCTCCGTCCGTGCATGGGACCAACGGACGTTACCCTTTTCAGTCACTTCCGAATGCACCTGCATGCCGAGGCACCTCAATGCCGCATGCGCTGCAGCACTGAGATGTGTCTCCTCCGGGTTCCTCGCATCCGTCGTGTTGGTGGAAGCGTGTCCAGAAACCACGAAGAGGGCTCATCCCCGGGCATCGCAGACAAATATTCTCCCCTCCAAATAACAGCCTCAATATCCCTCACATCCAGTGCGGGATCAGTGATGGGGCAACTGTCCATCGGGCGTTTGGCTGAGCTTCATGGATACTCCCCAAATACCAACCGCGGGAATACCGGTCCGACGCGCAGCGTTTGACAGGGAAACCCACGTCGCAGAGCATGTAGCAATATTCACTCATGTTCGGTGCGGAGCGCTTCCTCTGCAGCAGCAGCAGCCTACATCCCGACTTGCTGCAGCAACGAGTCGGTTCCGCCATCTACCAGTTCACCCTCAAGCAGACCAGGTAAGCCGATTCGGCCAGCGTCAGCTCCGTGTAGTAGTCGGCACCCCCAATCGGTGCCATACGCTCATCCCTAGCGTGGCGCTGCGATAAGTGCGACTCCAGCGTCCTCCAGTCCCCATCGTCATCCTGCAGCTTCACGCCATCAATGTCGTCGCAGTCTTGGTGCTCCCTTGCAGACATCGCGGCATTCGTCGAGTCCACCACCACCGACAGCGCTCTGCCACGCACACCGACAACATTCCTCACCATGCTGCGGCTGGCCATGTGCGGGTAGGTGAACCCGAGAGAATGGGCCAACAAGTGCGCGGCGATGCGGGTGGCGATGCGTCAGTGAAATAAAACTAACAGGCAAAGTTCATGGCGTCAGCGACGGGACGGCCATCCTCCAGCGTGACGCACGGCAGTGCCCACACACCAACAAGCGCAGCAACCACGCACTTTGTCATTTCGGAATTGGCAACACCAGTGGAACAATGCCCATCAGTCACCGTGAACCGACTGCAAACGCTGCCCGTGGCAAATTGGGGCACAGTCAGCGGACCCTCCAGTGGCCGGACGAGCAGACGATTCGCATGCAGTTACACAGCAGCGGGGACAGTCTCCTCGGCAACGATATTACCGTACACAGAGGATAGAACACCATCCTCACAGTGGCGATTGTCATTCAATGAATTCATTGCGTGAGACCAGGAGAAGACGCAGTGCCTCCTGCTGTCACACGGGTCTGTTGTTGATGCCTTGATGCCTATGGGCACCCATGGGCCCTTCCAGACACCGCTGCACACCTGCAACGCGTCCAGCGCCCTGAGATGCATTCTCCCCACCGTCGGAGCAGAACACATCGTCACGAAATAATGAATACTTCGGGGTGAAAGCAAGACATCCGCTAGCAAACCACATCGCACAGATCATCAATAGCAGCACCAGTAGCGATGCAGACCGTGGGGGTTAACGTGGATCAACTGACACACACCATAAGTCAAAGACAATCTTAATGGCTTTACAAGAATACAAGTGGCTAGCAATTCCTCAACAAAAACAAAAACAATAGAAAAATAAATAAAAAAATTCAAGTGTCCGCAGTCAAAGCAAGCCAATAATCCACAAAAAAAAGGTAATGGGTGCACTCAACCACAACACAATTAAAACAAAAAGTGAAAAAAAACAAAAAGCCGAGGAGTGGGACGACCAGCGCACACACTCTCATTGCTCCCGTAAAGCAAAACACACACACAGGGAGAGAGAGAGAGGTCGCCCACTCAATGCAATAAAAACAAAACAGAAACAGTTACGGTGCTCCGCCCATGCAGCCAGGCAGGACGGCAGCGGTGCGTGTCGTGCAAAAGAGAGCACCAACGGGCCTGCATGGGTGTGCATGCATATATACAATGGGCACATTATGTGTGTGCCTCGTGGGATGAGGTGAGGGCGAGAGTCCATGCAAGGGGACACACACACAGAGAGGGAGTGAAGGACGAGTGTGTGTGCGGGCGGTGCACGGCTCTCTCTCCCTCACTCTTACGCGGCCACCACCGCAGCAGCAGCCGCAACAAGAAGAAGAAGAAGCAAAACAGGGAAGGTGATGTGGGTGACCGCGGTGCTGCCGTCACTGTCTTGTGCATTTTCGGTTTTATTTGCAAAAACGGCATTTTTATTCTTCTTGGATTCTTGTTCATTGTCTGCGGGATGCTCATGAGGCGGTTGCTGTTTTTGTTGCCGTGGTTGTTCTTGCGGTGGTGACGGCTGTTGCATTGATTGTGGCGGTTGTGGTAGTGCGCTCTGTTCCTGTTGTGCCACTGGTACTTGCAGTTGTGGCTGATTTTCTAGTTTTTTTTCTTCATTTCTTCGTTGTCGCAATTCCACTTCTTCTTCTTCTATTCTTTTTCCCGGATCATCGGTTTCTGGGGGTTCTTCTTCTGGTGAAGGCGATTTAAATTCATCCCCCCTTCCAGAACTCAAAAGACCTTCGTCATTCTCCACAGCACCTCCACCTGTTCCTCCCAAAGGTTTTTCTGAAGGTCCGCCTTGTGATACATCTTTTGTTGTTTCTGGATTTAAACCTAAGTCTCCGTGTCCCAGCGCCGCAGGTTCTGCTTTTTCCGTTTCATCTTCACCAAGATTCCCAGGAGCATCGTTTGCACCAACAGGATCCTTCGCGATCTCCTCGCCACATCTACCACCGCCGGCACTACACCACAGCACGCAGAGGGCACACACCAGCAGCACACGGCCAGTCATCATCATCGCCATCACTCCTGTCACTTGCGTGTGGCCCTCAGCACAAACTAACTCCCCGTCAACGCAGAGTGAAAGGAAAAAGAAAAGACACCGCACAGTAAAAAACATCAGCAACAGCAGCACGCATTTCATGAGAAATATTAAGCCAATAAAAGTCAGAAAACGCACAACGCTCTGTAATAATTTAACAAGAAAAACACAAAAACAAGGAGAAACAAAACAAAAGTAAAAAAAAAAAAAAACAGTAAAAACACAAAAACAAAAACAAAAAATTGCACCCAAATGGCTCCAGTGTGCATGCACTCACACACAAAAATGCGTCCACACAAACAGTTGTGAGCGTGTCCGGGATGCGTTCAACGTGACGGATACAGGAAGCAGCAACACGGAGCACACAGCAGGGCAGCGGAAGCAAGTGAAGCAAAACACAATCATTATTTTCTCTTATTTATTTACATCGGAACACAGTAGACGCATAAAAATCCCCGCGGTTGAGTGCTGGCACGCACAGCCCGCATACACCTCTTCAGCCCACAGTGGTGTACGCCAGCGCGGATACGGCGAGCAGCAGCGGGGCACACACCCACGCAGAGCTGCTGAGGCTGCCGTCGATTTCGCGGAGAAGAGACGGTGCGCGGGTGGTCGTCGTGGTTGGCGCCTCTGTAGTCGTAGTACTTGTTGCCTGTGTTGTAGTTGTGGTCGTCGTCGTGGTTGGTGCCTTTGTGGTGGTCGTGGTGGTCGTTGTTGGTGCGGCGGCCTTCTTTTGTTCATTTGCCGTAACGGTATTCGTATGTTCTTTCCGTTCATTAGAGTTCCCATCATCTAGATCCTGTGTATTATTGGAAGTATTTTGTGACTGGGGCGTTTTGGTTATTGTAGCCGTTGCATGTGACTTTTCCGTCCCTCTCACTTCACTGTGTGTCTCTGGCCGAGGAAGAGAAGTTGTACTTAGCGATTCCGTCACAAGACCTTTTCCGTCTGGCTTAGAATTTGTCGAAACGGAATCTTTTCCAGATTTGCCAGCTGTATCTTCACTTGTTGTCATGCACACGGACGGGCAGCAGCACAGGGCGAGCACCAACAGGGCGCACAGCAGACGGCACGTCATCATCGTTAGTGTGGTCGTTCAGTGGTGTGGAGCTGATCTGCACAGTGAGGGACATGGAGAGCAACAGGGGAGACGAGAGGTGCGGCAGACACACACAGAGGGCAAACCACATGAGGAGAGGGCAGCAGCCAGGCATGCACCGTACGCCGCACACCACGCACGACACACACTCCAATCCACGGCAACAGGCACACACAAACACACACACACACACCTGCACTCCGTAATAATTATATTGTACAATTGTTGTGGTCAGTGCATGCGGTCACACACAAAAGGAGTGAGAAAAGAGGAGACCACTACGGATAGACATCAGACTGTAGACTACCAGAGGGACGAAAAAAGGCAAGAGGGCCGCGCCGCGTCGGCAATCGGTGCGTCACTTGCCTGCAGACCAGGCGTCGTGCGCGATTGGTGTCGCTCATTTTGACACATTCGCCCTCGTAGCCTCAGAGGGTGGAACATGCAACGCCAACCCAAACACGGCTGTCAACACGCCATTGCCACAATCGTGAAGAGCCGGCTGGCACCACACACGGCAAGAGGGACACGCCAAGACACGCCATGCACCAAAGGGGCGCATCAAGTCCGCAAACAGTGCGCACCGCTCCAACACCGCAGGGCCCTCCCGCACGCACGCAACATCCTCCTCCTTCCTTATGTTCGGCTCATTGCCGCCACATCCGACACCTGCACCTCACAATACCAGAGGGAAACACAAAACAGCTGAAGCAGCGACAACAACAAAACTGCCACCTTGTTGCGCTGAGGCCACCGCACGAAAGAGTGCGCCGACGACGGGAGTCCATCGCGCAGGAGACGGAAATGAGCCCAACAAGACACCCAAGAGCCACACGTTCGCAGTCTTGTCGGGGCTGCCCCAACGCAACCACAACAAATAGTGCCGCAACCACGGAGCCATGCACCCTGACCCACAGCGTGTTTTCACAATCAGAAGAGCAGGGACAGAAGGAAGTAAGACACACTACCCACAGTGCAGCAGAGCACCCGAGAAACACACACAGCCAATCAAAAAAGGATGCAAAAAATTGGGAAGGCAGAAAAATAAAAAGGGCGCATGCAGATTAAAAGCCGAAGCACAGAAATTATTTGGGGTCCACATTCTCGCAATGACGCACACACAAAAAAGCAAAGTCACAAAAACAAGCAAAAGTGTAAAAGATAAAGCCGCATGCACCAATTACGGAGGCAGAGGCAGTCGTCCCTGTCCTTCAGAGAAACAGCTACTAGCACGACCCCGCATCCATTGGAGCACATTTCCTTTACTTTTTACTCATGATTAGAGTATGGTGATTTCCCCTCGTCCCAATCGCATCAAAAAACGCGTGTATACATGTGGTGCTGGGAAATGTCTTTTCTCTCCATGTTACTTCGTTCACACACAGTTTTCACGGAAGTTAGACCCTCCAAGCAATAAAACAAAAACACCTTTTCCCAGAATAACAAACAAGGCAATAAAAGACCGGTCATTTTGCCCATCACCCGCAAGCAAAGAAGGACATGGGGAATGCAGTGAGTGTATTATAGTGTTATTGCTACGGCTTTGCACATCTTGAGTGCGGGGCCAATGTGCCAAGTAAATACCGTCGCCCTGCCGCAGTTTGATTGCGCCCAGCCGCCGCGGCTGCTCAAAGAGGCACCACCACTACCGCCGCAGCGACCACGACAAGAAGCACAAAGGGAATGAGGCCAGCAGTAGCAGCAGCCACACAACAATCACTGTCGGCCTGCTGTACCAACGCATCGGGTATCGCCCGAAAATCGTCGCTGCTGACGGACGGAATCGGAGTGGCAGGCACGGAGGCACTGGGAATCACCGCTGGGCAATCCGCCCGCGGGTCGCCCTCCGCTCGTGCAACGTCCTCGCCGGGTGATGGCGCAAAAAAAAAAGGCGTCGGGGCCAGAGGCTCTGTTGGCTCCCTCGCTTCCACTGCCAGGTCTCCTCCCCCGCCGCTGAGTGTTGTCCTCACTTTCGGTCCGCACCCCCGGATCACCCCTCGGACCGGCATGAAGGCCACCACCAGCGACACCCGCTGCCGAAGCACCGGGAGGCTCCTTTTCAATGGAGGCACCAGACACCACAGGAGACAACTGTGGACGAGTATTCTCCGGAGAAGGCGACCCTGAAGCAACCGCAGACTCTTCTGCTTCCTCCTCTTGCTCGTCACCCTGTCCACCCACCAACGCACTCGGAATGACAAGACTGCTGCCGTTCGCGGCAATGGTGCACACCTCGCCGTAAGTGGGGCACTTGATCTTCCCACCTTTCCTAAAATCTTTCAACGTCACTGGGATGTCAGTGTCCTCAGTGCAAGGCTGAAACCCACTGCTGCCGAGGTGCCTCACCTTCACTGTGCCCTCCTCACACGACACCTGCGCGCACACTCCCTTGACGCTTTTATGGCCATCACCGTCCTTCGTCTCCAGTAATTCCGCGTCCAGGCACCACGAGCCGCCGCCAGTCAGCGACCAAGGGAGATAATCCACATTTTCGTCCGAGCACGTCCTGTACGTTGTCCCAGACGATATTTCTTGAAATTCGGAAGATACGACAGGGCAGACGTCCTTATCCACCAGACTCCCCCTGTCCTCAACGATGCTTGCGGTGCACTTCCCAACGTGACGGCGGTCGGAGGTGCAGCGAAGCGTCTCTGTGTCTTTAGCATCGCAAAACATGTGGGGATACTTGGCGGCAAGATTATCGGTTGTATTGCACTTCTTCTCTAGGAAGTCGCAGCCACTGCGGTGGCCCCAGCTCATCGGCTCCGCCATCCTCCAATTCACGCGGTAGTATCCCATATCCGCAAAAACCGCCATCGTCAGAGCCGTGTAGTAGCCGACACCAACTGTGGGGGCTATCAGCTCGTCCCGCGCGTGGCGTCCCTTCCAGTGAGGGATTTCTTTTTCTCGAGGGCCATCTTCGTCCTCCAGCACCATGCCCTCGAGAGACTTACAACCAAAGTGCGCTTTCGTCTTCTCCTGAACGTGCTTCCCTGCCACCATCCTGCGGTGCGTCCCACGCACACTTCTCTCTCGCTTCTTCACCAGGTTCTTTTCTCTCATGCTCTCCTGGCTGAACCAAAGTGCATGCGCAATTTCGTGTGCGGCAACGCGAACACTCCACGCCGTGTCAGTCAAGTACTTCGGATCAAAGTTCATGGCGCCAATGTAGGGGCAAAAATCCGTCAATGTGTTGCACGTGGCCGCCCACACAGCCCTGCTATCCGTGCCTGATGGCCTAGCAGCAGCGTAGATGATAAAATCTGCATTCGGCACGCAGTCACTCTTGTGCCTGGTAGGAACCGTAAAGTGGCTGCACGGTCCATTCTTAGCCCTCGGTAGAGTTATCGTCCCACCAGTGGGTTTCACAATTAGTCGCTCAGTGTGCAGTTTGACGGCACCGGGAAGAATCCTTCAAGTGTACAATTGTGTCTTTGCCTCCGTCAGGAAATGCTCTGCTTTGCATGACACCCTGTGCCCCAATGCGTTGTAGCACTCATCCTCTCCCTCTTCGCAGTACTTCTTCCTCTTGTTCGTGCCTCTCTCCAGATCCTCCGTGGACACCGCAATGCGGATCGGCTCCCAGCCACTGTCGTCATCCTGTGTGGCGACGGTGTACGTCTGCATGGCGCCTTGTCCCTTGCGCGGCACCTCACGCACCACCGCAGTCGACAGCGGGCCGTTCCTCCTCTTCAGCACGTCAAACCCACAGCGGTATTGTGTGGCGGGTGCAACGGCAATACACCCACTGGCGCAGCACATCAGCAGCAACACCGCGAGTGGGAAAAGCGGCGTGGCGTGGCGTGGCGTGGCTGGCGCATGACTTGAGTAAATTGCATTTCTTGGTTTCGTGTGAGTAGCAGCAGTGGCGCAGCCTGGATGCGGGAGGAGAGAAACAAAGAAAAAAGAAGAGTAAGAAAAACAAAATGGCTTTGGGCCAGTAATGCGTCAGAATGCGGCCCACGCAGCGAAGTAACAGGAGAACACAGAGGCGGCCATACACACAGCGTGCGCAACGACTCCAACAAATGGACAATCCGTCAATCCGTTGTCGAGAGAACGTCCATCACCGTCGCACAGAGTCCTCACCAGCCGCAACGCTCCCCCCACGCGGAGTGTTTGGTCTGCTCTCCTCGTGGTGTCGCAATATTTGTCTGATCGACCACTCAACATCCGCCAACGGCACAGCAACAGTCCCAGATGCAGGAGCATCGCACAGCGCGCTCTCCCAGCAGATCATACCCTGTTGCATAACCGCACGGCAACCCCAATTGTGATGCGCGGCCCTGAGGCGGAGATGCAAAGAGTCATGCGGAAGAACCTTATTCCAATGCTCTCCTTTCGGGGAACTCGACAACAAGCGTGCCGGCGGTGCGATCATTATGACCGTTCCATCCGCACTGCCACTGGCCAAGGAAGTTACTGTGAGCTCACTGCGTAGAGGTCACCGTGTCCGCCGCTGCTCTCTTTCCACCCCACAACCACGCCGGCACTTCCAACAGAGCGGATCGGAGCGTCGACAACGGCAGCCACAGGCGCCAACACGCCGAGTCCAATGGTGCCCGCTGCGACATTCCAAAGCGCGCCGAGAGCTCCTCTAGCAGTGCAGGGGCTGCTCACGTGTGTGCACGGCATGGCGTGTGTGTGCATGTGCTTGTGCTTGTGTGTTTGTCAGCGCCTATGTCATCGCCTATGCATGCAGAGCAGCTGTGCGGCACAAGAGAGTCCAAATAAAGCAACGGCAGAGAGAAGCAGATATTACACACAAATTACTCATATCATCACACACACACACACACGCAGCCCGTGGAATGGATGTGCTCAACCAAAAAACAATGAAAAACAAAACAAAGCCGAAGCGTGGGACGACCAGCGCACACACTCTCATTGCTCCCGTAAAGCAAAACACACACACAGGGAGAGAGAGAGAGGTCGCCCACTCAATGCAATGGAAACAAAACAGAAACAGTTACGGTGCTCCGCCCATGCAGCCAGGCAGGACGGCAGCGGTGCGTGTCGTGCAAAAGAGAGCACCAACGGGCCTGCATGGGTGTGCATGCATATATACAATGGGCACATTATGTGCGTGCTTCGTGGGATGAGGTGAGGGCGAGAGTCCATGCAAGGGGACACACACAGAGAGAGAGAGAGAGAAGGACGAGTGTGTGTGTGCGGGTGGTGCATGGCTCTCTCTCCCTCACTCTCACGCGGCCACCACCGCAGCAGCAGCCGCACACGCAACAAGAAGAAGAAGCAAAAGAGGGGAGAAGGTATGAGAGACCGCGGTGCTGCCGGCGCTGTCTGCTATGGTCTCTGTATTGCTCGTTTTATTGGTGGCGTTCTCTGGTACTGTTGTGTATCTCTCATCCTTATCTGCCTCAGTGTCCCTGTTTCCTGAGGCGGTTTCAAATTCTGCGGTCTTACCGTTGTGTACCACGTCATCATTGACGTCGTCGTTATTAGTCCGTTCAAGGTCACTCGCATCACCAGAGGCTTGAGTGCTTCTTGTGCCAGCAATAGTCCTTTCAGCAGTAGGAGCTGCAGGGCTGCTGTCGTCGCCGTCATCATTTGTCGTGGCAATTATACCAGCGCTGGGTATTTCCTGTGTTTGCAATTCGGTGTTGCTGGCTGGCAGAGCAGCGGGGCCAATATCTCCCTCGGAATCATTTTATGTCACTGAGGCGGCAGAAGTTTTGGAAGTTTTAGCACCACTTTTCTCCACCGTGCTTGCAGCAATATCACTGCTGTCTGTAGAGGTAGATAATGGTGTTGTACTCTCTCGACCCAAATGCGATACACTCTCCGGTGAATGCAAGGAGGATGCTTCTTCTTCTTGCTTTGTTGAACCTTTCTTTTGGAGCGACCCGGTTTCTTGTGAGTAACCTCCGTCTTGTGGCTTTGAATTTTTTTCCGCTGTAATTGGTAGATGTGTTTCTTCTGACTGTAATGGGTTTGGTTCTGGTGATGTTGGCGGTGGTGGTTGTAGTGATTCTACTGAAGGAGGGGGAGGTGGTGGTGGCAGTTGGGGATTTCTCGTGTCTTCCTCATCTTCCGATTGGCCGACGGTTGGCTCTTGGCTCCCAGTTTGTTTGTGACGATCGACATCTGGACTGACATTCTGTTCTCCTGTTACTTGTGAATCCCCGCTTCCTTCCAACGCATTCGTCACTTCCAGTGAATCTGTATGTTCCTGTCCCTCTTCTGGATCTTGTCCCGCTTGCGACAACCGGTCTGAAGAAGATAATACCTTCAATGTGTCACCGCTGCCTTTGCCACTTTTTTCATCAGAAACATCAGCAGCGACCACGGCAAACTGTTGACGTCTCCAACGGCTACGGCCGCCCACAACGGCACGCACACCGTCCATCCCACGACGCACGCATTCCTCCACAGCAGAAATATTCGCACCGCCTCCTGTCCTCCTGCTGACCTCCACCGCGCATTCCCTCCGCAGCTGAGCGCGCCGTCCCGCGAACGAATACTTAACCGCACTGCCATCGGCACCACCAGCATCGTCGGCCGCAATTCCCGAAAGACCGCACCACAGCACGCAGAGGGCACACACCAGCAGCACACGGCCAGTCATCATCATCGCCATCACTCCTGTCACTTGCGTGTAGCCTTCAGCACAAACTAACTCCCCGTCAACGCAGAGCAAAAGCAAAAAGAGACAAGTCACACAGCCACGCACCGTCCCATCCAGCAATGAGAGTCACGCACAACAACACTTGGGTGGACGCCGCTCAACAACAATCAAAAAACAATCAAAAAAAAAAAAAAAAAGAAGTGCTCCTCGCCCTTGTCCCGTTCCTCACACCCCCACAGTTACCATTACCGTTATTCTCTCTACTCCGTTCCTCACAGTCTCCCCACGCTCACTTCAACACACGCCCCTCCAGCACAGGCCTCGGGATCGTCGGGCCCTCCAGCACACGCATTCCTTCATGCGCTCCCGCTGCGCCGCAACGTTTGCCACCTCCTCCCAGTCGAACAGCTCCGTGTCCTCCACTTCCCTCACAATCGCCGGCATGCCCCGGCCGCGCAACTCACACAGCGCGACAACGTCGTGTAGCTG